CAGCGTGATGAAATTGAATTTGGAAAAATGTTTCCGGATTTTGTCCAAGAATTTGGAGAATTTAGTTCGGACGTTGGAAACGGTGATGCGAATCAACAGACGACTCAAGAAGACATTTCTATTGTGAAAGAGGAAATCATCTTTGAAATTGGTGAATTGTATAAAAGTATGATAATCGATTTCAAATATCACCCTGTCACAGGCATCTCTAATCGCCCACAGCTAATGCGTAAGACATTTTGGTCCACTTTCGATATGGCAAGAAATCTGACCTTGTTAAGTAAAAGATTATACCCCGAGGAACTCGACGACACGTTTACCACAATTCAATTACTCTGCACTTCTTTGTTAAAGAGTTGGCTGGCGGAGGGTACAGGATTAGAAAGCTTCGATGGGGAAACACTTGTGAACGACAAAATATATGACTTTTATAAAGACGAGAATATTGTTGAAGCCAGGAAGTTGGGTGTCATTATTGCAAACTTTCAAAGGCGTCTTAAAGAACTTCTCAAGCTGTGGCCAGAACATGCAATTCTTCAACAACTCCACAGCATTTGTGATAGGATCAACGGATTCAAATTAAATTCGCCAATCGCGAAATTACTCACTGGATTGGAACTCTTGTTGCAAAAGTCTGAGGATTGGGAATCCTACGCTAGTCGAGATGTGTCTATGAAACCCAATCGAGAAGAAGTGACCAACCTCATTATTTGTTGGCGTCAACTCGAACTAACCTGCTGGCCAAAATTATTAGCAGCCCAAGATAAATATTACAAGAAATCCGCTTTGAAGTGGTGGTTCCACCTTTACGGATGCATAATTCGTCCCGTGCACGAAATTAGTCGTCGGTACGCTGATGGCGATGCACCTCCGGTATTCAAAGATCATATCACTGAAATTGTCAAAAGCCTAGATCAATTTGTGCAATCATCGAATTTTGGAGAATTCGAATCGAGACTAGAATTGATTCGCATTTTCTACATGCACCTTTGCAATTACTCTCCTACACACGGTTCTCTTTACAATCAAGCTGCTGATGCGCTGTGGAACGTTTACAAATATTACCTGCAATTTCGAGATGAGCTCCGAAACTCTCTGGGAAACCTGCGCAAACCTATCGAAGAAGAACTCCATCAATTCGTCAAGATTGCTAGTTGGAAAGACGTAAACATCCATACGCTCAAACAAAGCGCACAAAAAACACATCGGCATTTGTCCAAATGTATCCGTAAATATAAGGAAATACTTGATAGGCCGATTACCGATATCATGGCAATGTCTCAAAACAATTGTTTGATCATTCGAGAGAAAGGACAAGAGTACGACGTTGACGAGGGCTCAAAACTATTTTCTTCACCGGAAAAATGGCTTTCGAATATTTTACCCATCGAGCATCCGGAGGAAACCTCGGAGTTACAGCGGGCACTGAGTGAACACGTTTTGCCAACTCCAAACCGATTCGTAAACATTAATGCCACCTTACGAAAATTCCGATCCTATTGTTATAATGATATTTTCGGTAGAAATTCTACGCGTAATTTTTGTACCGATGATTTTGCGACGGAAATTATTCTCGGGATAAAGGCACTTCAAGACGAAACCAATCCTGCGATGAGCAAGGAAAGCAAGGGATCTTTAAAGAATCTTAAACTGATCAAGAAAAAGTCCTTGATTGATCTACTAAAGGAGTTGAAGCGGATCGGATTACACGCGTTTCCAAACCGAAAGGCGATAGAGAAACAACAAGATCTAGTCGGATATATTTTGCAACTCCCAAGATTACAATCTTTAACTGAAACTTTAACAACGTTGGTTTTTAAATATCATTCAAATTGCCAACTTCCGGTAGGAAAGGATTCCTTTTTAATTAGCGAAAAGGTCGATGATTACTACTACCGGATCATAGCAAGAATCAATTATCTTCGTCTTGCGTCAGCCAACTACTCCAAAGACTTATCGCCTCAAGAAGTGCGTAAAGCACTTGGCTTCACCGAAGATTTATTATCCCTGATTGTGCAAGAACGCAGATGGTTGGTGGAGTTTGAGGTGCAGTACAGACAACTTTCGGGAATAATGGTTCAATTAGGTGATGTGCACTCTGCATATAAATCCTCTTTCTCC